ACAAGCTAATTTTGTTTAGCATCTTTTTTTTTTCAGACAGGGTCTCACTATGCAGTTCAGGTTGGCCTTGAACTCACTTTGTAACTCAAGCTAGTCTCAAACTTGCATTTGCTTTGATTTCCTTGTCTTAGCCTCCCAAGTGCTGGGACTACAGGGGCGTGCCACTATGCCTGGCTTTGTTTAGTATCTTTAAAATACTGTTATGGACTCATTGAAATTTAAGGGTCTGTTTACCAAAAAAGAGGAGTGCTAGGGTTTAGTGAGGTGGCACCCGCCTGTACTCCCAGCTACTTGGGAAGTTGAGGCAGGAGGATTGCTTGAGCCTAGGAATTTGAGAACAATAGAAAGAAAATCTGGTAAGTCTTGCTTTATTAGGTTTGCAGACTTTTCTTTATCGTACTTGCTTTTACACATACCGAGATTTCCTTTGGTGCTAATATAGTTTAATTTTTTTCAAAATGGTAGTGTTAAAAAGATATATTCAAATCTTCTGTTTTTAAGTATCCATTTTCTTAATCTATGTAAATAAATTTTATCAAAGTATTTTATCTTAATAGGATATTAAATAGAAAAAATAATAGGGGGACACTAATATCGGACATCCTTTGAATGTATTTTGAACTTTCTAGTGTTAGTGTTGCTTACTGAGTGCTTAAATTGGAGAACTCCTTGCATATATCAGTAACAACTAGTCCGAACTGTATAATCCCTTTAAGATCAAAAACACATCAGAAATCACTGTCATCAGTTATTGATATAAAGGAAGATTTCACAGTGAATAATGTCTTCAATGGCATGTTGTGTTTGGTAAGAAAGAAAATAAACATTGTAAAAGTAAGTCAACAATAATTCTAAAAGCCATTCATCTCAAAAGAAACTTAAAACTATATTTCTTACATTCAAAATCCTTTTATTGTTGTAAGAGTTATTCTTTCCTGGTTCCAAAATCTTGCTTACCTGCTTTTAAAGGTTATTCTTTAAAACGTTAGACTAGATGAGCTAATTTCAGATGGCTTATTTACCTGCTCATGGATTTATATGCCACCTGCTTTTGCTTTTTCTACAGATGCAAAGTCAACCTCTGGGGCAAAATTCCACCTTTCTTTTTCTGCCACACAAGTGGTAAATAACATTACCCAATAAATTTTAGCATTTCCCCAAATGTGTAGGATACAAAAAATGTATTCATTCGTGTGAGATATAAAAATGTACACTCACACTTCTGAAATCAACAGCCAGCCATTTCACACTTGGACCAAAGGCAAACAAACATAATTCTCACTGGCAGCTGGACAACATTCCAAGTTGCCACCACATTAATTAACTCACCTCAATCAGATTCCACTTCAACTTGCACAGCTTGCTGCCAAGACGCCTAGCAATAAATTGCTGGGTTAAATACTGAACAAGGTAGGGAAATACCATATGGTATGTTGTTATAAAGGGTGGGATATTCTTGTTTAACACTAGTAGCAGGATTTTTCCGTTTGCTTTTTATTATTGTATCCTGTGATTTGACAAATGTATGTATATTCTTATTGATAAATGATCTTGTGGATCTTACGGTGAAGAGTGGGAGGGTAATAAGATAACCAAATATCTTTGCCTGCAAACTTCTATAGTTCATATAAGTTTGAAATCAACAGTTTAGTCACTTAGTAAGTACTGAAAGTCCATAATGGTAAAGTATTGGTATCAAATATTTGGGGAATGTCAAGGAACAAATTTGCTTTTCATTGAGATCTATTCAGAATTTACCAGAAAAGAAAAATGCTAACTACTTACAGCTGAAACATTTTTGGCCTGGGAGTCAATATTTGAGACTGAGTCTAGTTTCTTCCACTTCGGGCAAATCACTTGACTTCACTCGTATTATTTCCTCACCTGTCATATGAATGAAATTGACTAGATGAGTGGTTCCTAAATCTTAATGCACTTATCAATTTAAAGAGCTTGTAAAAATTCAAATTCTTGGATTCTATTTTAAGATTTTCAAACTGGTTAGTTTTTTTTTTTTCCTCTTTCTTTTTTTTTTATCAGTATCAGGGATTGAACTCATGACCACCTGCTTGCAAGGCAGGTGCTTATGCCGCTGAGCTAAATCCCCAGCCCCAAATTGGTTAGTTTTGATGTGAAGCCCAACAGTCTGTATGTATAATGAGCAAGAAATTCTTTGCTGATAATAGCATCGCACTTTGAGAAATACTAGAGTATATGCTACTTAAGAGGCGCTTTACCTCTGACAGTATATTCTTCTACTTACTACCTTGTTTCAAAGAGGAGCTTATCAGTTCATACTAACCCATACATATTCTTTCATCTGATTCTTCTATTGGCAATTTATTAGACAGTTTTTTTTTTCATGTAAACTTAAATTAGGGAATCCTGAACATCCTAACTGGTCCATATAAAAATATGCAATAAAGATTTTCTCATCATATTGAAAACTTCACAGGTTTGGATCCTCAAAAACAAGTTTCATCATTTCACTTGTTAAAACTATGAAATCATCTTCATTCTTAGTTTCTTTTGGTGGAGGGTGTAAAAAGACCATGTAGTGATTGCTTTATTTTTCAGTCTGCACAAAAGAAGTCTCTTAGATTAAATCAGTTCCTTCCAAGCTACTCTAGCCATTATAAGCATTATATTCTAAAGTGTCCCTTAGAGTATGAGTGAATAGTCTCTTATTGGTCTTTCTGTTCTCCTCAGCCACTAAGTCAGGCTCTTTCCTTAGCGGATGATCAGTAAAGGAATGCGGATACTCAGGCAGAGGTGTTGAATCTTGTTGCAGACATCCTCATCCCCTGCAGGTGGTGCTGGCAGATAGGTTCTCTATTTACTTACTTAATTTTAATTACTTGGGATAGTAAAGATGTTTTCAGTACTTACTTTAAAGCTGTTGTAATAATCTAAACTACTTCTTCCTCATCACTCTAGTTAATGAGTCACAGAGGAAAGCAAGACTGAAAAAATGATTAAAGTGAAGGAGTTGGGACAGTATCTCTGAGGTCCAGCAGTGGGAAGAGTACATTTTTACTTGCAAAAGACAACACATTTTCAAGAAATTCTTTTATAAAAGTACCTAACCATTTTCTCAGATATGCTATGTTAATTCAAGTATAGTATCTGTCAACCTCTGTTCTGTCACTTCTACTCTAAAGCTTTGTAAATCCTCAAGTAAAGGCCAGTGAAGAAGGTTTTAATAAGTACACTAGCATTTTTAATTGGCATAATGTGATCGATCAACCTATAATTCTTACCATATGTCTTCTACTCTCCCCATATGAATTGTTCACAATTAATGGGCTTGTCTGTTCCCTCTCTTTGATATCATATATTCTCCCACTTCTGTCTTATGCCCTGTCTCTATTTTGTCCTCAGACTGTTTTCATCAGGGCTTCTCAAAGTCATTCTCAGGGGCCTACAACATCAGCACCATGTTCACGGCACTGTTAAGACCCTGTTTGCCTCACTCTCTTTTCCTTACAGTTGTGCAACACAGTTTTCCAGAAGCTACTGTGACTGGTTACTATCAAAAGGCACAGATGTGAATGAAGCTGTACTTGTTAAATCATATAGTAAGCTGAAAAATGAATAACAATATCGCTTTCCTACATAAATGCTTGTTTTCAGATGCTTGGATTCTATTTTAAGATTTTCAAATTGATTAGTTTTGATGTGAAGCCCAAAAGTCTGTATGTGTAATGAGCAAGAAATTCTTTGCTGATAGCATTGCACTTTGAGAAATATTAGAGTATACGCTACTTAAGATCGCTTTATCTCTGACAGTATATTATCCTATTTACCACCTTGTTTCAAAGAGTTATATATGTTATTTATGTTAACATGTAATTTTGCCATCTCCTTTTTCCTTCCTTCTCTTCTTTCTATTTTTCTATGGCCTTGTGCATGCTAGGCAGGCATTCTATACTGAGTTACATTCCTTGCCCCTTGTTAACATTTACTCTATTTTATTTATTTATTTATTTGTGACAGGGTCTCACTATGCAGTTCAGGCTGGCCTTGAGCTCACTTTGTGGCCCAGGCTGGCTCAAACTTGGAAAGATCCTCCTGCCTCAGCCTCCCAAGTGCTGGGATTACAGGCATGTGCCACCATACCTGGCTTTGTACTTTAAACAAGATACTGTTTCCTACTGTTGTCTATAGGGATGGCAATAACTCACGTTTTTAAAAAGCTCTTTGATAATATCAATAATTGAAGTGTTGTGTAGATGTCCTAAACCAAATCAGATGAGCTCTTTGGCCACTGCAATTAAAAAATATATTTTTCTCCCTGGAATGACAGAGCACTTACACACTTGCAGTTAATTTACGCCATCCACCCAGTACAGAGCCTGTGCCAAAAAGGAATTACTGTTGTTACACTGATTAAGAATGATAATTAGTTATTGTTAGGTGGTAAGTCATAATCCTTTTACTTTCTAGTCTCTGATGAAAGTGTCTCCAACCCAAAGAGTGGGAAAAAAGAATTTCTTGACTTTTCAACTTATCTTTTTATCTGAAAAATGAACTTTAAAAAATATATATATACATATATATATGTATATATATATAAAGATAGGTAATTATACCACTACTCTCTGTTAGCCCATCAAAAAGAATGGTTTGTGCTTTCATTGTTTGATCATTTTTTTATGCCCATATCCTATAAGCTGAGCAACCACTTTGAAGATAACAATATGCAATATATTAACCATTATTAATCTCCTGTTATTTTGTTTTGAAATCTGTTTTTATTCTTTTTGTTTTAAAATACATATAAAAATATATATAAAACATGACAAATGTTTATTAAAAGGAAATAACCCTACTATTAGACATTACAATTATTCTAATTTTTCAATGCTATTAATTGTGCTTGGATTACACTTCTTGCATATGCATTTTGCATACAGCTCTACTGATTTCTTCAGAATAAATTCTCGGAAGATAAATAATGAGGGCAGGAGATATGAATAAGTGAACACTTTAAAAGTTCAACCATCATTTGGTGCTGCTTCTATTCATTTGTCATCCTTGCACAGAGACCATGCTAATCTGTATTGTTTCTGTTTTAGTTTATGTGCTGCCAAAATGAGCGTTACTTCTACTTGTACAATAGGAAAAAAAAAAAAAAAACCCTGTGATTTAAGAGAAAAGGAAAAGAATTTGAGAAGTAGCAAGGAAGAGTATATAGAAGAATTAAATCCGAGGAAAAACTGCCACTAAAGGAGAAAAGAGGTAGAACAGTAAACATTAACAGTGTTGAAGAATGTCTAGACAAGGATAAAACAAAATCTACAGAGAGCAGGTTTAGAGTCAGGCAGATACAAATTTAAAACACAACTCATTTGCTGACTGTCTGACCTAAGCAACTTACACAGCTTCTCTTTTCATTAAACTGTGTTTCAAATTGGACACACAGAAAGAGTCAGCTTCAGTCCCCCCTTTGACTACCCTTAAACCCCGAGGCTTATGCTCGTACCTGTGTTCATGCACGCACGCACTCCTGCACACACTTTATCTTTCTCTTCTATCAAGCAAAGGAAAGGAAGTAGCAATACCTTTTTATCACTTGCTTTCTGTTCCTTAACCTCTGGTCTTTGTTTTTTGTTCCACAAACTGAAGATAATACAACAAGTTAGGAATCTCTTTCCTTGAATTTCCCTAGCTGGACTAGGAACTTTGAGAAAACGGGCTGCCTTTTTCTCATGAAATGTTTGAAGCTTCATGCTATTCCACCGGCCTGACCATCACCAAAATTGAATATGATTGAAAGAGAATGTTTATCAATCTTAAATGAATGTTATTTAAATTAATAATGTGAATCAGTTTTTATTTACCCTGAAACACTACATTCCTGCTGTTTCTAATGACTTAGATTCAGGTTGGTACAACTATTACTTCTGTGGGTAAAATTTTCTTTTTATGTTATTTTATTTTATTTTAGAAAGATTAAGATAAAAGAGGACATAACAAAACAGATCAGAACAGAGCAATTTAAGCAACATAGTGTTTCAGCACAACACAACCTGATATAACAGTAGCTACCATAGTTTCTCTTTCCTTGAAATGTTTGTGTATACACTACATCATACACTATAGTATCAAACATAACAAAATAGTATAAAACCATTCAAGAGAATGAAAGTATTACAGGGCATTCAGAACCAAATATCAGAAAACAAACAATGGGTACTATATCTCCTTGTCCATAAAAATTTTTGTTTATACTATCACACATAAGAAATCCAATAAGATACAACATGATAGAACCAAATGTTTTCCTTGTTTGTTATTCTTAGTCCTTTTGGAGGGTATCACAGATAAGGGTGATAGTGGCTTTTCACTTAAAGTTTTTTAGGCACCAGGAAACAATAAAATGTCACATTGCAAAAATATACTTCAATATACAGTATTCTTTTAAGATGTCCTGTACTCTCAAAAAACATCACATTCACTGAACTCTTTAGGTCATGAAGATATTTTTCATACAAAAATTTACAATTCCCTAATAGGAAGACACAGAAAGAGTAATATGGATTAACTGACTGTAGATAATATTTTCATTACACTGAAGTTCTTTGTTTAACAAGTATTTTCTAAAACTTCTCCTAAGATACCTTGTAGCCTAGATCTGCACTGTCCAACATAGTAGCCACTAGCCCTTTATGACTGTTTAAATGTTAAATAATTAAAATGAAATACAATGGTAGATTCAGGTCCTCGTGATAGTAGTCACATTTGAATGCTCCATAGCCATAAATAGCTGTTAGCTGCCCTCCTGGAAAACAGAAATATCAAGCATTTGCATCTTTACAATGTTTTACTTTATAGCACTAGTCTAGATGAGTTAAATATGGCATTAGATAATGATAAAATTATTATCCAGTCATAAATAAATTGCAGCTATGTCTAGAAAGATGATTTTTATACAGTGATAAAATGAATAATATGATTTTAAGTAGCTGAAAAATATTCATTGATCAACTGAGCAAAAATACAATGAAATGTTTTAATTCACATATATTACACAACATTTCTTTTGCCCTGCTTATAAATGAGTTGACCAGTGCGTATGTATGCTTCACAATGTGCACGCCAGGTGTAGTGGTGCATGTCTATAATCCCAGCATCATGTCTCAATAGCAGAAGGATTTCAATCCCATCCTGGACAACGTAACTAATTAGTGACATCCTTTCTCAAAATAAAATATAAAAAATGGCTAGGAATGTAGTTCATTGCTAAGGCCTTGAGTACAAACTTCAGTACCAAATAAAAAAGTATTTTTATCTCATTATTGTTTAAACATGGTTACGTTACTACCCATAAATTCTAGGGAAAAGTCATGGATGGAAGTAGGTATTAGCATTAACATGCCACCTCAAATGTGTTTACAACTCTGTTGTCTTTTTAAAATTCTTTGATAGATTAAACTTCATGGATGTTAGAAATGTAGGTAAGTGGTGGAGGAAAGCAACTATTTTTCCTAACGCCATCCTTTCAAGAATGTGGATATTCATGCTACTCTAATGAACCACCTACCAGCAGCTGTTGGAGAATGGATACAGACTGAGGTTGTTCTGGAACTGAAATCCCTTAGCTGTACTTTTCCTCTGCATTGTCAGTGTACACTGGGAAAGACACCTGCTATATAGAACTTATCATTTCTAACATGATCTGAGAAATTATTAGTCATTCCAAAACCTGTCTGCGTCAAACTGTTCCACAAGGGAAACAGAAAATTCCCTTGATTCAGAATTCTCAGAGTACACTGCTGTGTTTTATTCCCTCTTTATAAAGGATTTAGATAGAAGTTTTAAAAGTTTAGATTATTGGATCAGTTGTCTTCTACCAATACCACTATTGGTAACCTATAATGTACTTTTTGTATTTAAGAGAATTTTCCTTTTTATCAGCACCTTTCACTGCACATATGAATTTTAAAAAACTTACTGCTAAGAAAAGTTCAGTTCAGTAGATATTTTGTACAATACTTTCTGTCACGAAGCCAGCTACAATTTGTTCCCTACCCTCAAGGAGCTCATTCTCTAGTGAATAGGGACCGTAGATAATCAGGTAAATGCTGTGATAACGTTAAGCAGACTGCCATGGGAAATCAAGGAGACAAGGGCACAGGGAGACTTCCTGGAAGTAAGGATTCTTGAAAAGATGAGCAAATACATACTCAGGCAAGAAAGCGATGAGAAAAGGATAGAATTTTAGGACAGGAAGACAGTGAATCAAAGCACAGAGGCATGAAATAGCACGACTAACTCTGGGAATTACAGTCTATCCCATGTTGCTTAAATAAGTGTCAGAGGTAGGCAGGGCTAGATCACTGATTAATTTTTTTTTGCATAAACAGAGAGTTAGAAAAGTGTTTTTTGGGGGCTGGGGATTTAGCTCAGTGGCATAAGTGCCTGCTTCGCAAGGAGGCAGTTGTGAGTTCCATGTTGGAACCGATAAAAAGGAAAAAAGACAGAAAAAAAAAGTGTTTTTTTTTTAAGTAAAAGTGACCCATTTATGTTTTCGGTAGATCACTTTGGAAACCGTATTGAGGGATGGAAAGATCAGATTTGAAAAATGGGAGGAGAAAAGCATGACCTAGTGGCATAAGAGAGGTGATGTAATATTTTTTATCTCCTTGACTAAGTGCTACACACTGGAATGAAGAATATCAGAGAAGGAGTAGGTTTGTGAGGAATCTAGTTCACTTTCAGTCTTGCTAAAAATGGTGTTTTGTGTCATCTAAATGGACATATCCAACAGGTGACCTGATATATCCGTTTTATCTATTAAGCCCAGAGATGCCTAAAGGCGATGTTTAAGAACGTGAAAAAAGAAGGAATTAGGGAACAAGGGATGGGTGCAGCAGAAGGAAAGGAAGCGAGTAGGGATACTTTTTCTTTTCTTTTTTTTGTACCAGGGATCCGACTCATGACCTCACACTTGCCAGGCAGGTGCTTGTGCTGCTGAGCTAAACTCCAGGCAGGAAAAGGGGATTTTTGAAAAATAGTGGAAGGAAAATGATGAAAACAAACTTTTGTAAATGGAGAAGGAATAAAGCAAGGGGGATGAGAAAAATAGACTTAAGATGTATTATGTACTGGACAAATTTCCTATGGTGAATGGGTCATTATGTATGAAAAACACATAGCAATAAAGTTAATTTAAAATAGAAGAAATCTGTGTGGTAAGAATTTAAATGTGGTAGAGAAACTGGGAACATGTAGGACAAAAAGGAAATGAAGGAAAGAAGCCTGGGAGCACCAGTCTGGAAGGAAGAAATGATAGGGAGGCGGTCCAGAATAAAGCAGCAAAAATTCTACTGTTATATTCACTTCTTAGCAAAACTGAAGAAATTCAAAGAACAAAGAAGTCTAACAAAGCCATAACCCAGACAGGGCAAGCCTTTTAGAGACCGAGTGCCAAACTGTAACCCAAAACCCATTTATTTATCACAACATGCTAACACAGCAGTTAAACTTGAATACTAAGGTTATAGTTACCAAAAAAAAAAAAAAAAAAAAAAAAAAACTCTACATTGACTTCTTTTGACTTAAAAGAAAAACACAGTAACACATGTGCCACGGGTTGATCACCACTGCCATAACCCATCTTTCTGCTAGTAGTCCTAACCCTTCCTGAATGCTTAGTCTGAAGGTGCACATCTTTCAATATGGACTTGAAATTCCTTCCCCCAACATCCAGGAGCCCAGAGTTATTATGTTGTGTGGCTTTTATTGAAAAAGGGAAATTGGATCCAAATATTTGTATACATGGTAATCTGTAGTGTGTGACTTCTTTTTACTTGTGAAATACAAAATTTGTAGAGAAAATCAGCGCACAGCCTGGTGTGGTGGAACATACCTGTAATCCCAGTTACTTGGAAGGCTGAGGCAGGAGAATCCCAAGTTCAATGTATGGAGACCTTGTTTGTCAAAATAAAAAGTAGGAAGAGCTGGGTGTGCATTTCAGTGGAGAGTACCTGCTTAGCACCCTCTAGGCCCTGGATTCAATCTATAGCCTATAGTTAAGTAAATAGATGAATGGCAATCTGGTTAATGTATCGCAAAAAAAAAAAAAAAACAAACAAAC